CCTTTGCAGTAAAGAGCCGCTTGCACTAAAAAGAAAGCCCCATGATGCTGTGTGAAGAAACAAAATAAGAAATCCTGCAAAAAAATAAGAACATTTTTTTGTTGTTGCCTTTTTAAAGGCACAGGAGGAAAGAACATGAAAAGATAACACCAGAACCTCACTGTTTACCTTCAGGTGGTTAGACTACCCTGTCTCTACTTTTCCCTAAATTCTCCCTTTTTTTTTTTTTTTAAGTTTTTTTGCCATAGGGTGCGTACACTTGCAGGAGAGAGAGTGTGTGAGAATCACCTCTTAAGAGGGACGGTCACACCACAATCCCTTCTCCTCATCCTGCTCTTGGAATTTTCGGCATACACACACACATGTGCCCAGTGAAGACTGTCAAGCCACTGGGCCTGGGACTCAAACCATGGTTGGCCGTGTGGGAATCCAAAAGTGCCTTCACCACCACACCACCTGCTGGCCCCCAATTCTGCCATTTTATCGCATGATTATGTATAACTTCTATAACAAAACACTTTTTTCCTGCTCTGTGAAAAAGGGGAAGCTAGTCTTGATTTTTTTCTTTTTTAAAGGTCAGCATGATTTCTTTTATTTTTTTTTCTTTGAGAGAGATTTTTGCTATCAGGTGCGTGCGCTCACCAGAAACAGAGGCAGAGAGAGAGAAGTCATCCCCACAGGGCGACGGTCTGACACACAGCATCAGACGTCTACAATCCCTTCTCCTGTGCACGCACGCACACATGCACATGCACACGCGCCCAGCATGAGTTGTAAGCCACTGAGTCCAGGACTCGGACCACGGTCGACTACGTGGGAGTCCAGCAACACAATCGTTACGCCATCTGCAGGTCCCAGCTTGTCTTGATTTTAAGGACGTTCTGTGATCCTGTCAACCCTGCAGGGCTGGGGCAGGACATTCAGCACCAGGGACAGCGCTCCCGCTCTAGGGAGCAGTCAGAGGTGCACTCCCGGCGGGGTAGGAGCCCCTGGAGTGCAGGAAGGGCTGTACCTTTCTCTCTGGCCCTTCTGCTCAGTCCCTTGAGACATGGGGCAACAACTGTCAAAGCAGGAAGCGTGCTTGTCCCCTGAGCGTGGCTGATGGAAGTGGAGCTGGCCCTGTGACCTGGTGGGGGAGGACTGTTGGTGACAAGTAAAAACAAATGCTGCACAGATCGCTTTCCCCACAGGATTAGCTGGGGAGAGACTTGCAAACACGCCACCCAAGTCACAGTCACATCTGCTTCTAATTGCTTCTCCCCAGCATTTCCTGAGCTCATCAGCGGGCGTCTGCCCTAGGAGAAGATCCGATATTTTTAACAAACTCTTAAATCAGATGGCATCCTTGGTGAGTAATTTCTTACGTGTTTGGTTGTTGAGGCTAAAAACAGCGAGTGCACCATGAAGGGACATGGCTGTTGGGGGACTGGGGTAGTCAGGCCCACTCCCAACTGTGTGACTAAGAGTTTCCAATCCGCGCAGCGCACGCAGATGTTTGCTTTCATTCATTGATCATGCATTTACAACCTAAATATAAAGTCCTCTGTGTTTTAAAAAATTCCACTGTGGGGAACCAGCAGTTAGCATAATGGCTATGTCGCTGGACTCCCACGTAGTCGACCGCGGTTCGTGTCCCGGACCCGGTGGCTTAAAACTCACGCCGGGCGCGTGTGCGTGCGTGCCCAAGATCCCAAGAGGAGAATGGAGGAGAAGGGATTGCAGCGTGACCATCCCACCTGGGGGGTGATTTCTCACTTTCTGTCTCTATGTCTCTCTCTGTCTGTCTGGCAAGCGCACGCGCCCTACAGT